CAGATATTATATTCTACATACACAGTAGCATTTTCGCTTCGTCGGTAACCATATTAATGCTGCCCTCAACCATCAGTATCTATGACAATAATAATGTAAACAATGAAGATAAAAATGTGATCAATTCATATGCAGGCAAGACAAAGCTAACGAAGTTAAAACACACTAAGATGTCGGATTCAGTGGAAATGGATGACTACAGTGAACATGAAGTTGAACGAATCAGAGCTGAACTTCTTCAGGAGAAGCAAATGAAGTAAGATGTGATAAACACAGGCGTTGCTAGGGCCTTTCTTTCTTAGACTCGCTAGGGGCTTAACTTAGACAAGGCTCATCTCATCATAGGCCTAGCCTAAGTCTGACAGGTATTCGTCTGACATCCCCTATTTAGTATCGATTTGCCTAAAAAATATAGTTTATAAAATTGAAACGTTCGTTTTAATTTAAAAAAAAATGGCCAATGGTTATAGTTGTAGTAGTACAGTACGCCTTTTTCACGAATCGGTAGACATCTTGAAGTGATGACAAACATTGCGAATCAGCGGTGCGTAACCAACAGAAATAACATAAGCTTTTGGGCGGATTTTTTGACATCATGTTATTTAAAAAATCATAACTCTATAACGGGGCGTCGTATCCAAAAAAAATTTCCAACAAAATGTTCTTAAAAGACTAGTCTACACCACTATATGATTGAAAAAAAATTGAAAAATTTTGTTGACCTCTGAAATCAAGATTGAAAAATAAAAGCCTATCTCAGTAGTGTATTAAAATAGGTATATGCATTACAGTGCTGTAGTACTATTAATACTCTGAACTAGCATTGTTTTAGTTACCATATGAGAGTTTCCTGTGTTAAAAACATGATTTACTATACTATACCTCTTTATAAAACATAACTTGTACTTTGTAATAAGAGAAATATGTATATTATCGCTACTTGGAACAATAACAACTCGAAAGTCCTATGCTACTGCACTGTAATGCATTGGCCTATTTCTTATATGGTTCTGATTCTAATTAATAATAATAAAATAAATTTTCTATTTCTTCTACAGAGAAATGCTGGAACAATCAACAGCAGAATTGATGTTAACTGTAGCTGAATTGGAGAAGAGATATGACTCAGTAGCTGATGATGGTCAGTGCAAGTTGATTCCATGGAGGTTGGGTGGGGGTGGGGGGCTTGGGCTTGGGTATGCATAAATCAAAGATCTTATAAACACAAGATAGCGTTCTCCGCGATTTACGCGTAACAAATAGAAGCGTCGGTCAAGGTTCAAAAGTTTCCAATTTAGTAAGAGGGCGCCATTCATGCGCTATTATACCAAAGAGAAAAAGTAATCAGTTTTGGAAAAGGGCGTCTATCTGTTGCCATGGATCTGAGATGGTTCCTGTTCTGCTGTTCACAGAAAAAGGTAAAGTCGCGTGGTGTACGGTATGGTCAGAGCGGTCAAGGGTCAAAAGTTTCCAATTTAGCAAGAGGGCGCCATTCATGCCTTATTACAGAATTTGCACGCATAAATCGCGGAGAACGCTATCTTGTGTTTATAAGATCTTTGACACCGTGGAGATCTCCAGGTCCCCGGTTCAATTCCCATCGCTGCCTCTCCTTGTGTTTCAACTAGAGGGCTGAAATACAAGTTACATAGCGCACCGTCTTTCGGTTGAGACGTTTAAGCTGTTGGTCCCGTGTGCATTTATGGCCCATGTACACGTTAAAGAACACAATACACTCTTCGGAAATGAGTAGGGGATGGTCTCCCAGTGTACTGTCCAATCACCACCAGAAGGACCCCACTGGAAATAAGTCTTCTTCTAGACTTTCGTGGGCTATCCTTGATGTTTACAGCGAATAAATCCAATCCAATCCAATGTTTAACGCCTTAAACGGCTCATCCGAAAGACGGTGCGCTATTGTAACTTGTATTTCAGCCCTCCTACTGAAACACAAGGAGAGGCAGCGATGGGAATTGAACGTACTTAACTACTTTGTATATTTTTTTATGTATGGTTTTTTGTATTTTACTTCGTATTGAGATGCGAATAAATTCAAATCAAATGAACCAGGGACCTAGAGATCTCCACGGTTCAGCGCACACACAGTGGCTACCACCAGATTAGCTGCTCACTAACATAACATTATTTATTTCGACAGGTAATGAATGGAAGACCAGATTTGAAACACAACAGGAATTGAACCAGCTGCTTCAAAAACAAATATTATTCCTGAGGGAACGACTGGAAAAAACAAGGGAGAATCTGAAGGATACACAAGGGGGTGGAGAGATGAGGTCATATGATGAATTGTCAGAGGTAGGTCTTACCCACTCCCCCCCCCCACCCCACCAATCAAAAAGTAAAATTTGCCAGCGCAGGTACAGTAGGCATTTACCAATATAATAATGATAATAATCAATTTTTAAAGTGCTCTATACAATATAGTCTCAGAGCGCCAGCTAATATATAGACATTACCCTATTAAAAATCAACCAATTAATTTTCAATGATCAAATACTGCCAGCAGTTATTTTGTTAAATTAGTAACAGATTTTGTATTTTTTTTCTAGGCAAGTTTAAGAAAGTTGTTGAAGCAACTGGAAAGAGACAAATCTAGTCTCGAAGGACAGTTGAAAGATTATGAATGGAGGTTGGATCAAGAGTCTAAGGTAAACATTTAATTTGTTTACAAAATGAAATTAGCAAAGAACTTCCAGAAAAAGTTGCCTATTCTTTTCTTTATTATCCAAAATTTTTTTTAAACATTTACAATGGAAACTAAAGTGATACAGTATACAATTTTTTTAGATAAAAGGAGGTTGAAAAGAGGCAACTTCATGTCTGTCGTGCTCAACATCCTATGTAATCAAATTAATAAGTAAATTTAAACAAATACTTCTTTAATAGTAAAAATAACAGCAATAAGTTAAAAATATGCCTTAGAGAAAAAGCAAAATGGAAATCTATTAAAATTACTATCTTTACAAGTAGTAAAAATTAGAATTTGTAGAATTTGGTTTTGAAGGTTTTTATGTGTTTAATTTCATGAATGTGTATTGGTATTTCCAGTGGCGGTGCCAGCGGGGTGGCAGAGAGTGCTTAAGCTCCCCCCCCCCCCCCCCGGCCCCCCCCACCGGACAGGTCAGGCCAAAGACAAGCCAAACTAGACATTCGTCTCAAATTGTGTTTCAAAACATGCTGGAATGTCAACATTTTTGAAATCTATTTTATTGTAATAAACTAATCTTTATATATCTATACATCATGCTATGCTGTTATTTTCCTCATTTTCAATATTAAAACAACCATTTTTAACAATTTGGTGATGGTTTCTGCCTAAGAAATGCCCAAAATCATAAACTTTGAAGGCTGATTTCTCAAATTTTCTATGTTTAAACTTGTGAAACTTCATAACAAGATGTCTGATTTATATGATTACCTCTTTATACCTCTCATTTTACAGTTAAATCCTGTAATAAGAACTGAAAGTTGATTTTTGCGAAGAGTAACTGGTTTAGCTTGTCTTTGCCACAAATATTCATTTAAATCTTGAGGAATTTTATCATAGTAGAGATAAGAGATCTTCCAAATCACCTGATCTTTTTTTTTATTGGTATTGCAAATCTATTTGCTAAAATAAAATTCACGCTAAATATTTTGTATATTATAATCCTATGTCCTATATTTTTTGTTGTAACAGGCCTATCACAAAGCCAATGATGAAAGGAAAGCATGTCTAACAGAAATACACCAGGTGAGGACTTAGAGGGCAGTATAACATTGTGTCAGATTATCAAGAGTTCATGATATGCCTATAATAATGCCATAATATTTTGTAATCCTGACCATACAGTATTTAGCTATGTCAGATGTATTAGTCTGGAGAGGGCTTAGTTTACATCATACTGTCCATAATCCAAGATGGTGGAAAGGTTAATTTCACACTCTCTGGATTATCAAACTTTCGTTTATGGCAATAAATTTAGTTTCAAATTAAAAATGTCTGCTTTTAGGAACATTAAATTTTTCTTAGATTTTTATGTTAAAATGAATATTATTTTTACAATTTTGATTTTTTAATCCATGTAGGCTCGCTCAAAATTAGAGCAGGCAAAGTATATGGAGAAACAACCATGGAATAACCACAGCCTGTCCCCACGTGATGCGATGGTTAACAGGGGCATGAATGAAAAGTAAGTGGCCACGATGTTTCATCTTGTCAGTGCATGGGTGTAGGCAAGAAGGATCGGGAGGGTCATACGACCCCCCCCCCCCCAAAAAAATTTTCAAAGGTCCATATTTTTTCCAAAGGCATTTTTTGCTAGGGCCTTTTCACAATGAAATAAATGAAAAAGCATTGATGAGGTACCAGCAATGAGTCCAAAGACCTTGCCATTGCGTGACATAATCTATCTCAATTCCAGCAATTCTGAAACTGAGCCTGCCATCCGCTTCGAGCTGGTGGCGCTGTAATCGATTTTCCTGTCTCCCTCTGAAAGGTCTAAAAATTATGATCACGACCCACCCAGAAAAAATCCTAGATACTCCCCTGCAGTGATACACTTGTTATTGGCAATGCCTGGCCAAAACGTGTCCCCTTAATACTCTAGGGGTGTCCTCTATATAGGGGTTAGCTGTAGTGTTAAAAGATATCCTTCATTATGTGGCAGAAACAGTGTATTCTTAATAGGGGTGTTCAAAAGGAGCGGTTCTACTGTATACAGTAAATAAATATGATAAGTTTTTTATAAATATTTTTCATTTTGATTGTAGTGTGCCGGACAATCACCGAATACTGGACCCAAAGAAAGGACCGATAAGAAAAACAGCAGCAGTAAAGAAACTGCCAAAACTGAAGTTGTAGATTGAAGCATTCTGTCATCCATGCACATCTGTCCATGCATTCATGTACATACTGTATTATGCTGGAACGTAGGCATGCATGAACGGGGAGATGAAGAACTTATGAATGCATGAACGAGCACATAAAAGAACTTATGTATGCATGAATAGCCAGATGAAGAATTTGTCATGCATGAATGAGCAGATGAAAGAACGTATATATGCATGAACGGCAGGTGTAGAAATTATGCATGCATGAACGAGCAGATAAAAGAACTTGTGCATGCATGCATGAGGAGATGTAAGAACTTATGTATGCATGAATGAGCAGATGGAAGAACTAATGTATGGATGATCGGAATAGGCATATTATTGTATAAGTTCCTAGACATTTACAACTGTACAACTGTCATTTTTTAATCATGCAAGAAGAAAATAACTACAACAGCGATTCCAACTCTCCTGCAATAGGTCTGTACTGCTCCTAGTGTCTGTACGGGAGTGGTTCGACCATAGTGCCATTTATATTACTATCTCTTCTTTTTGATGAAATTTAACTTATTTTTTCAAACCATACACATGGTGTTGTACAGATTGTCTACCATCTATTCTGCAAAATGGACAATTTCTCTTAGTGCTCCTTCTGAAATCTGGCTGGATATGGTTCAAGCAGGGTAGCATTGTTGCTATACCTTTATTATATAGTGTTATTAACTTGTGCATTTAGATGGCATAAAATAAACATTTTACCCATGTTTCTCCATGTACAGTAGTGTAATTTCATTGGCTGCCTCTCCTAATATCTGGATGGCAGTGGTTCAAGCACGTTGCATTCTTATAATTGCACCTCTATTGTTTGAGGATTTAATATAATGCAAGCAATTGTGGCACAAATGCTGTTCTATATAATATTTATATATATATATATATATATATATATATATATATATGTATAATAATGTAATTTTGATCTGTTTTGCTGTTTGATAAAAATTATTAAAGCAATAAAAATAAGCATGTAGGCTGAGGTACACACCTTCGCCATCCCACCTCCACGACAGCAAATTAGTTCCACTAAATTAGATTAAATATTAAAAATGATATTTTTCATTGGAATAGGCATTTAGTTCTAGATCTCCAATTTTCGCACCCCACCACACCAAAACCAGCCTACGCCCATCATAAACATAAATACAGTATATCTTTTTTAAAGAAACAGGAATTGTACATTGGGAATTCCAAAATTGTGCGATGATACACACTGGAGTTTAAGTGCAATATTGAACTTTAATATACCGGTAGTACAGCTATAGGCATTTGGTAGAATAAGAATCGGTTATTAAATTTAATTCAAGATTAAAAATAGATGTCATTTTGTATACTTTTGAAGTTTATGAGATTTGTTGGAAAGAAAATAGGTCGCCAAACATTTAAATTTGTACACTCTTTGGAAAAGAATAGGGGATTGTCTCCCGGTGTATTGTCCAATCACCACCAGAAGTACCCACTGGAAGTAAGTCTTCGGATATATTCATGGGGTTATTCCTGCCGTTTGAATAGATTCAACTCCAAGAAGAGAAATATTATTGCATTAAAATACAATTGGAATTCAACGAGTCATTTTTATGAATGTAGTTGTACTGCAAAGATCTTATAACAAAAAGATAACATTCTCCGCAGTTTGCGTGTAACAAATTGAAGCGTCCAATTCACGCAGAAAATAGAAAGTAATTGTAATTGAGAGAGGGCGTCCTAGTTGTTACTATGGCGGTTGTTCCAGAATTTGCACTGAGATCATAGATGTCCAAGTTCAAAATTAATTGTAATTGCAAGAGGGCGTCCTACACTGCAGAATTTCCAAGCAGAAACCGCAAACGAGGCTATCTTGTTATAATATTGTTGTACTGGTACTGGTATGGGCATTTATAATGCGCCTCTTCCTTGAGGTTATAAAGGACAGTTCTTTTCCCAGGTCATTGGGTCAACATGCTTTAAGTGTTGCTGCTGGTAATCAGCGCAGGAGCAGGTAACCCCACCAGGTACCCATTTATACTCCCGAGTGGAGAGAAGCAATGCAGATTAAGTGCCTTGCTCAAGGACACAAGCGAAATGCACAGCGAGGGATTGAAGCCCCGACCTCGAGGTTGGGAACCAAACCGCCTCCACTGCAAAAACCACTTCTGGCAAGTTGAGTTAAACTTGCTTAAGTCAACCTTGCCGAACTCAAATCATTTCTATTAGGTTGATCTTATTTTATATGCCAAATTGTTGTGTTTTTCATTAACAATCTGTAAGTCAAAATTTCTTCTAAGTCTAAACAATTTTTTAATGGCATTTGGATTCGAATTAGGCAAGCTCAACTGTAGTTGATTAAGTTTACTTTCAACAACATGAAATAATAAACCTTGCATAAATTTCTCAAACAATATTTAATTGTATTTATCCTTAATAAACAACCCAAATGTGAATAAGACAAGATGATTTCTGTATGCAATCTTCATTTTAATTTACAGTAGCCAGGTTCTACATACAATAGGTAGTACTGTATGTGACATCTAAGAATCAACAATAAAACTTTAATTGCAATATCAGTTATAGTTTTAACAGAGACTAGTGCCAAATTGATGCTGGTATTGTGTTCAGGCTCTGACATCACACATGGTAGAATTTTAAACTATAATACAGGTGTCCCTCTAATTAAAGACCATTTGAATTACAGACCACCTCCAAATAAAGACCACTTTTCTGTTGTCCCAAATAAAGAAATGTCTATTGTCTTTTTGATTTTTATTAGAAACCACAGCTAAAGACCATTGGAAACCCAAGTCCCAAAAGTAGTCTTTAATTGGAGGGAGACCTGGACTTATCTTCCATGATGCCATTAAACTTCTGAAATTTAATCACACCAAAAAAATTGAGCAGAATTGGTATGGCGCCTTTTTAAACACTTTGATAAATCTGGAGAATGAGTGAATGAAATGTTAACCTTTGTTCATGCAGTGTACAATCTATGTCTTTACACACAACATCTCGCATATAATTTCATTATAACCATTTTTTTTGTCAGTCAAACTTAATAATGTTTGATCAGATTTTTTGTAGATTACTATCTAACTAATGTATACCCATAATGAATCACAATGTGGCTATATGAGGAGATGCAATCATGACTAAATTTAGGCATGTCACATGTTGTTAGTCTGGACAGGGCTTCAGATTTAATAGTGTTTGATCAGATTTTATGCAGATTACTATCCAATCTTAAACAGATTTGTTTTGTTTGATCTCATATGTCTGAAGCCAGTAAATCCTATCAGACAAAGTCTTATCAAACATTGAATTTCTGCTCTATATTTAAACTTCTCTATGTACATGTTGATAGCACAGCTTTCAAATCACCGTTGTGTGTAGTACCAATCGTTAAGAACATTTTGTTAACACAATCCCTTTTTTCCGCCATCACTGCATAGGCCTACTGATGATGATTATTCCCAATACCATTGACAACACCAACTTGCACACATCTAATAAAATATCAACGCAATGGGAGCCAGTTATGATAATCATTTCCAACTTTCCGTTGTTCATCTGAAAAAAAAAATATAAAAAGTAAAAATTCAGGAGTAGTTCTTTGCAGAGTGATATCTTGTGGTCAAGCAATTACAAAAAATCTTTGAATTAGGTCCACTCTCGAATAAGTGCATTTCTCGAATAAGCACTGCTCACAAAAATAAGCTCTGCACTGAAGCCTTGATTATGCGAGGATTTACAGTAGGTTTTAATTAGCTCAAGTCTGACAATTAAAAATCTTGAAATTCTATGTTTGGATGTTTTGAAATATTTTAAAACAATATACTGTAATTTATCATTTTTTTAATCATAATATTGTTCTATATAATACCTTGCAAAAGAACCAGAAAATTACTCAGGACCAGAATTATAAAACCTGGACTTAATTCCTCAACTTTTCACAACACTTTCTGAACAATAAAAGGTATCTGAAACCAGACAGGTATCTAAGAATCTTGAAATAGGGGTGAGAGGGTGACGTGGGGCCCCTCGGTGGTTAGGCTGGGGGGGATTGTATCTCCCAAAATTAGGTGATTTTTAAGTAATTGAGCATGAGTTTTTTTGCTTTGAATATTTTCAATTGGGGTATCTTGGGGGATGCAAGTATTTTTTTGGGATATGCAAGTTATTTTTTGGGGGTGTGGAAGGGGTTCATGCATTGGGATATTTTGGCTGTGAATTTGGCAATTTGGCTATGATTATAATTCATCATTCATCAATCTAAAAACATGATAGGGCCAAAACAAATAAGATGATTTTTAACTACCTGAGCATGATCTTTGTTGCTTTGAACATTTTTAATGACAAAAAGGGGATGCAAGTATCTTTTTGGAGAGAGTGCACAGGGAGAGAGGTTTCACAGGGAGGAGAGGGCGCACAGGGGGAAATGCACAGCCCTTATATAGGTAAACTAAAAGCATGACAGAGCATAACACAATTAAAGCTAGGCCTAGATACGCCACTATCCAAAACGTGTGTACCTACCAGGTGGGAAGAGCTCGGGGTGTCTTTCCATGTACGTACGATTCCTGTACTCAAGCTGGGCGTTCTTGTTCACTTCATAACGATATGCGTACCAACCGATGACACTACCAATCGCAGTACAGATTAAGTGTCTATGCATACCTGAATGAAAAATAATATACTACATTAATATCTCCATATTTGTGTGTCATATGAAATCATCATTTTCAAAATGAATGCTAAGGCATCAACCTGTATAATAATAATAATAATAATAATAATAATATACAGCACTTTATTTAAACATGGAGACACAAGGCAATATCTGACATTAAATCACCTAAAATACTGTATAAGAAAAGCTTGTTTTTAATTTATTTTGTTATGTGATATTCATGTACAGTGTATGTACTGTACTATCTCAAAAGAAGCCAGATGCTTTATTTGAGGATAATTCTGCCAACTAGAGAAGCGGCTTCAATTCAAGATGGGCTTCATCTTGAGATTAAGCCCACTGGGCTTCAATTCGAGGTTTTACATGACATATCAAATAGTATACATTCAACTTTAAGGTTTGATCACACTATCCAATTTTATCAGGAAAAAACATGTTATTTGCTCAAATTGTCATTTCCATAGGCAAATCATACATAAAACAGAGTACTTTTCTCAAACAGGCAAATAATACTGTTAATAATAATAATTTCTTTTTTTACTTAGTTTGTGTTTCTTTTTGGATGTTCTGTGTTGTTTTTCTTGAGGTTTTAATGTTTTATGTGTACTGGGCCCTCTGGGAGAACAGTAACTTCTTACTGAAGAGGTAATCCAGTATAAAGAATAAATAAATAAAAATAAAAAATAAATAAAAAATAAAATACTGTATAAAATAATATCTCACAAACTATTGCATTAGGCTGCTTAGATAAGAAATACATTTTTAATGTTTAATAATTTGTTTTAACTCTTAGTCTATGATGATGATGCTGTGCCCTTAGGCCATGTAAAAAACAAATAATTGGTTAGCATCTTCTCTCTACCATCAGAGAGGCCACCGACCCAATTTTTTTTTTTTTTTTTACAAAACTCTCACAAACTCCATTTTAATATACGTTTGTTTACCGCCCATCTGCACGCTAGGCAGACCACTTGCAGTTCTATGCCCGAATGTTGTTCTATTGTTCTATACTGTAGCTACATGACATCATCATCCATGATGCCTGTTGTGTTTGAGTGAATTGTATATATACAGTATATATAGATAATTGCAGTATGACTGTTTATTCATAGGTAAGGTTTCTGCTTTCTATGAATTGCATAATTTTCTTGTATGCAATTTTGGTCTCTATTGTTTTCTTCTTTGTTTTGCTGTTTTCCTTTGTGACACTCTTTTTTCATGTTCGAAAAAAAAAACCTCCCTCCTTACCATGAAAATTGATAACATAAGAATGCTAACCAATTTTAAAATTTTACATGGCCTTACCATTAGACACACCACTGCCAAGTATGTGTAAGACTAAACAGAAGAACAAAGCTAAATAATCATAGCAAAAATAATTAAATCTGAAGAGGGTGAAAAAAAAAAAAAATTTATTATGTTCAGTTCAAATTAAGAGATTTGCACAAGTTACTGCAAATGTTCGCAAAACTTGTCCTTTTTTCACTTGAAACGGCATAGGCCTAGCTCAAACTAAAGTGGCATCCACTCGTATTGAGTGGTTTCCTATTTATAGGAACGCCCTACTACTAGTACATACAGTAGGTAGGCCTAGCCTCCTCTTAGGGCCTAGTAGGCTAGGCTTAGGCAGCCCTACAAAATATAATATTAATATAATAATCCTTCTTATCAACTTCCTTTTGTTTTGCACAGTTTTATTTGTTTGACAAGTATCAATTCACCTGAAACGAATCAAATGATTTCAAGCGTAGGGTCTAGACCCTACGCTTTTTAGGCCAACTTCGGCCGCCGACACCTTCGGCCGCGCCCTGTCGAACACCAAAATGTATGGAGTGCCCTTTGAGTGCTTTGCCGATTGGAGGTTGAATGCACGCTATTGTTTGTCACGCTGATATACAGTGGTTGAATGAGCGCTATTATATCTATTCAATTCTTAACCTCAAATTCAGAAACACTCAAGCTTACATTGTTACAGATAGGCCTATACACACAGAACATGTCGCAACAATTAATATTAATAGTGTGTTAAAATTTCAGTGATAAAATTATATAATTTGTGAAAAAATCGTAACGAATTAAATATGGCAAACTTTGCGCTGCCACTTACCCCATGGTTAACACAAGCAACATATTTGCAAGATTTTTAAACATTTTGACGATAATAATTGTTAAAGGTAAACATCATTGCTTGTTATCGAAT